CACAAATTCACATACACAAAGTCAGTGCAAAATACAGATGTGAAATTGTGTTTGCCATTTTGAGCAAACAGAAGCACTCTTCTTATATATAATACTGGTCTCTAATCAGTTTTTCTTGTTTCTTAGCTGTGCTATTGATTTTTTTTAAAAATCTTTGTTTGCTGTGGTAGAACTGTACATGGAGATTGCAGACTAAATCCCTAGTATTTTTGAATAAGGCCATGAAGTTAGTTAGGTGCCATCAAGAGAGGTTCAGGTTCTTGGTGAATGCATGAACAACTGCTGTTAATGCAATTGAAGAGCCCAGTCTGGTGTCCTGGGAATTCTAGAATCCAACACATCCAGAGAATAACAGCTACTGTAGACAAAACTGTGCTAAATAAATCACTACACTGATCTATTATAAGACCAGTATAGTAAGATAGAGTTGTACTATTTATAACCTGACAAGACCTCACCGTTATACACAGGAAGAAGATACAATTGTTAGCCTATTAAGATACCTGTCTAAATCAGAACATTATCTCTCCTTCTTTTGTTCCAGTTGGATTGATAGGCAGCCACTCCAATTTCAATCACAGCTATTAGAAGAGAGCAACTCTTTAGTATTGGCCTAACACATAATTCAAAGAAGTAGTAGAATCAAAACTAGGATGCCTTGGTTCACATGTGACTGTGACATATATCTTTAATTAGTTCCATTGTGCAAGTCAGAGGCAGTGATTGCTTATGCAGTGTGGAAAATCAGGACAAGCAATCTGGAAACCACAATTCTAATACCAGTAATAAAGCTTCTTTTGGAGAAAAAAATCTCCAAGAAACAGAGAGTACAATAGGGTCGGCTACTTGAGAGGGACTTTCAAAGATAGAACAAACATCCTAAATTATGATGCAAAATATTCTGTAATTTTCCTTCCCACTGTTTCATCCTTCACTGTTAAATTGGGTATTTTGATCTGAAGATTCATTGGAAGAACCAGAAGAAGTAAGCAAGAGGATGCAAACGGTATATGAGCCTTGGTGGCGCAGCGGACTAAACAGCTGTTAAAGTAGCACTTAGCTGCCAGCTGCTGCAATTACTGTGAGTTCAATTCTCACCAGGCTCAAGGTTGACTCAGCCTTCCATCCTTTCTAAGGTAGGTAAAATGAGGACCCAGATCGTAGGGGGCAATAAGCTGACTTTGTATAAAATAGAACACCGCTTAGGGGGGCCCCAAAAAGCCCTACTAAGCAGGTATATACAAAAGTATGAAGGCTATTGCTTAATGCATTGTAAGCCGCCCTGAGTCTCTGGAGAAGGGCGGCATATAAATCAAACTAATAAATAAATAAATAAATAATAAATAAATATCTTTGTCCCTGTTAAATAGTGGAAGATATGGTTCTTCAATCCACAAAGGTAGATACCTTGTTCAGTGACAAGTTTCCATGGAGTGCCATCTTAAGTGGGAAAATCCTTTTCCAAGAACTACACCCACTCACTGCTGAAAGTGGTCATAGGCATGATTCCAAAGACCATTATTCCTTCTGAGTAACATCTGATGTTGGCTGAAGGGCATTAACTTCATTTTCAAAATCCCATCTGGGATTTCATAGACATTCTTTTTAAAATTATTTTTATGGCCTGATTCAGAAATTCATACCAGTAATGCATGAGATCTAATTATATGAACTTTTCATCCTATTCTCCTAATAAAAGAAAAGAGAAGTTGTGGGCTCTAGTTGAATCGTGCGGAAGGAATATTTTGTCAGGGCATTTATTAATCCCATGTTTGGCTCTGGGACTAATTACCCTGGTTTAGAGGAGATGTATCGTGGCTTATTCCAAGTTGCAATAATCTGAAAAGAAACGCGAGGAAAGGGTTTCTAATAAAACTCATTTATTTGTTATAAAGAAAATAAAACACCTCACTAACTAAGAAAAGTTAATTGTTACATTTTGAAAGTAATTCAGGCCAGTTGCTTTCCAGCAACCGGCACCCATGGCAAGAGAACAAAGGGAAAGTGTGTGAAGCAAGTGAAGGAATGGAATGTGGGTGGATACGGAAACACGTAGCTTACTGATAAGAAGTTGGCAAAGCTACGGAGAGTCTGACAGTCCAGAAATAATGAGCTCAGCTGGTAAATAAAATAACGCAGTGACATATTTGACATATGGAAAACAAGCTGATTTGTCTATATAGCTCTGTACTTGGACTTCCATTGAATTCCAGATAAGAGATTCAGTTCTGTCATGAATAGGATTTAGTAACTTGCTCTGTTACTTAAGTATTGACCCATAAACTACCCTTTATGCTCATCTGATTCTTGTATTTCTCCATTTTTCCTTCATTTCTGCATAATAGACTTTGGCAGAAAAATCTATGCCAGCTAGGACCTTTGAAGTTGAAAAAGCCTCAAATGCCAGAGATGAAGCCAGTGAAGAGAACAGCAACAAACTGCTGATGTAGCTGGGTCTACATATGTGGGTAAGCATTGCTGTTTTATTTTAATTAAAGTAATACCCATGGCTACATAAAAGGGAAGGAGCATATGACCATTAACACCGAGGGATAAATTTATCTATGTAGATGAACCAGGTCTTCTGTAGTTAATTAGTATCTAAGCAGAACTCAGATCGAATTTCTTCTCAATTGAAAGTTTTGTAGCATTTCCAGTAAAAAATATATTAACAATGAGCCCATACAATCTCAAACAGTTTGGTATTAACTCAGGCTATTGTCTGAGGAGCCAGGGCAACAAGTGTTTCTCGGTTGCCTTTAATAAAGTCTGCAGAGAATTCAAAAAGTTGTTAGAAAATTATAAATGTTAATATAGTAATTGAAAGATATCATTAAATATGCAACCGGAAAGTAATGATATTAGCTATATTTACAAGTACCTATAATTGTAAATAAAATGAAAACATCAGTTTTATCCTAGTCCCATAACACATATTTTTGGAGGTCGTTTTAAGGACACCTTCCAAAGACCAAATCTGGCCTTCAGCCCAGGACGTTAGAAGAACCCATCTTTGCTCTACATCAGGGGCATAGATGTATAGGTGATTGGTGGAGGGAGCTGTCCAAAAGATGGCAACCATAATTGAATCCCTTTTTATGTGCATTGCAACTTATGTCAAAATAATGCAGATCTTTAATAATATGGTACAGCTGCCTCTTGTCTCTTGTAGACTCTTCTATTCTACATGCTTACAAACAAGATATCATTTTTTACAGAAGTCCTATAAATAGGACTTTAAATATAAAAAAATAAAGTTTGTTCTTTAAACTAACAAAGTTACTTTGGTTTCTACTGGAAGAATTATTTTTTGAACAGGATTACCTCAATGGGTAGTTATTGGAACTGAAAATCTATTGAATGCCTGCCCTTTTAAATCCCAATAGAACAGTGTTTCTCAACCTTGGAAGCTTGAAGATGGATGGACTTCAACTCCCAGAATCCCCCAGCCAGCGCTGCTGGCTGGGGGATTCTGGGAGTTGAAATCCACCCCATCTTCAAGCTACCAAGGTTGAGAAACACTGCAATAGAGGTTTACCTATCCACCCAGACCTGCATGCTCTGGTATGGAATGCATATGCACACACATTCATTCACACAAAGAGAATAAACTTGTAAGGAACTTGTTGTGTCATTCCCCCTTTTTTTCCCCTGTCAATGGGAGTCTCTGTAAATTAGAACCTTATTCTCAGTGGGTCTTTCCTGTATAAAATGTAAAATAAATAAATATTGTATGGTTGTATAAGCTTTTGAGACCTGCAAAGCCTTCTCATCAATTATTAAATATGACCAAAGATGACATTTCTAACTATTGTACTTGCCTTTAAAAGAGAATGTGTGCGAGAAAAAGGACATCCCGCTGTAATGAAGTTTTTAGGCATCAGTGATGACATTCTTACCATTTTCAAAGTCCTTTGCATAGCATCCCATTTTGGGAGAAGGAGACAAATGACAAGTCATTTCTCTATGGAGAAATGGGATTTCCCTATATAGAAATGACTTGTCATTTGTCCCCTTCTCCAACAAATTTTAAAGAGAAATTCATATGATCTTCAACTGCTGGCAAAGCTACCTTGTGTTGAGTATCCTAGTCTGAGCATCTTCCTCTTTAAGAATGGAAATGGAAGATCTGAATGCATTTTATATAATTCAGAGACCAAAAAAAAAAAAAAAAATAGTATAAAACAGCTGTGGTCAAAGTTGTTAAAGCAAGGTTCACTAAGCCATCCCAGTTAGCAGATAAAATATAAGCGGACAGCTTAAATATTGCAATGACTAAAGACTTACTGGTCTGAGAAGATTTCTTGAACTTTAAAAAATTAATGGCTGCAAATCTTTTGTTTGGATAGCGTCCTATGTATTGAACCATTTATTGAATTGTTTGCTGAGCTATTTTGCTATTGTTAGTGACATCCTAAATTGCCAGCTTCTCTCTCTCTCTCTCTCTCTCTTTCTCTGCAGAAATAGAGTAGGATTGCTCTCTTTCTGCTCTCTCACCAGCTGGTAGGTATAAATTATATATTAAACTGTATTTGCAATGGATCACTGCAAGTGACAAGTAGTTTTCAGAAGGCTTTGTCACCGCAATGAAGTGTGTGCCTTTAGTACCAGTGGTTAATACAAGTCCTTATTCATATTGTCCAAGTCTTCAAAAAACATAATTCAGAAAAATGGGCAGCACTTTAATAGAGCTAATCTCTTGTTCTGATTCAGGCTTCAAGATCAGCCGCCTGTAAATAAGTAAAATAAATAAATAAATAAATAAATAAAGAGGAGGGGAGGTGTAAAAGGATTTAGGGCTGTTAATCTTTCCATAGTGGGGATATCTAGCTCTTTAGTCTCCCCTCTTTGTTGACAGAAGTGGCTTCTATTGTGCCAGCTCCAGTAGCTCAGAAGCCGGCTCCTTTTGAAGGGGCTGCTATCGCCACTCTGCATGTGTGCCACCCTCGCCCTGCGCTGGGAAGATAGGCTGGCCACATCAGTGGAGAAAAAGATAGAATTTCTGTGTCACTCCACAGCCTAGGCTGAATTCAGAGCCTGTAAGTAGTGCAGAGCAAGTGAATGGTAAGCGATGACAATGCCTTGTGCTACATGCTCAATGCCTCCTCTTGCTCTTATTTGACTTTGTGTGCTTCACTGATTTTATTATGACAGCCTGAATACTGAGGAGGGAATTAAACTGTTAAGCAGGCATCAGAGGCTGTCTAATGTTTAATGCAAGAGTCGGAGCATGTAAGAACTGATAATGAATACAAACAGGGCGACATCTTATTTGCTGTGTTTTTATTAGGATGACTTGAGAGCTTGACATCCATTGCTATCACTTTTCCTCTTCTAGGTTGGGTGGGTGCATTGTGCATTTGTGCATGTGTGTATGTGTGTGGAGGGGTTGAGGTTTTATTGGGGGGGGGCTGGTTTTGGGAGAGGGGGGTTATATTTCCTCGAGCACCGGTGACAAACGTGCCTAAATGTGATGTGAATTAAAGGCGGCTGTAGGAGATTGTAATACTTGGAAATCATCACCTATAATAATTATGTATAGATAGGAGGTAGTCATGGCTGTTAAAAGGTCACCCAGTGAGATGTAATTGTCTTTTTCATACTCCAGTACATTTACTAGGACAGAAGCACGACCCTGCTGGCAATAGCAGTAAATATGCCATCTTGAGAATGTAATGATACATGCCAGCACTCTCTACCTCTTGCTGACTGCCCAATTCTTGGTAGGAGCTGGCAAAAAAGAGGGGAGCTAAAATGTGTGTGGGGGGTGGTGGAAAAGAACCCAAATCATTCTTTTTAAAAACTCTAAATTATTCACCTGTAATATCTATCTATCTATCTATCTATCTATCTATCTATCTATCTATCTATCTATCATCTATCTATCATCTATTTATCTATCAATCAATCATCTATCTATCATCTATCTATCTATCTATCTATCTATCTATCTATCTATCATCTATCTCTTCAACTTAACTCATAAAAGACAGGGAATCTACACTGTGCATAGTAGAATTGTGTGGCAGAATTGTACAGCAGAGACACTGCCATGCGAGTATGTCAATACTGTAAAAAGGCAGCTGATGGGAGGCTGCTACTTAGAGAGAAATATTTGGGCCGATTGAGAGTTATAGGTAAAGAGACTGTGCCTCCCTGCAATTGTGGAGGCACCCCTCACTTTAACAATGCACCCATGGAGTTAAGAGGCCTGGGAGTTACAAGTGAAGTTAACGGATGGAAGGGAAACGGGGGGAAAAAATGCTTCAAAGAATAAAGAATGTTTTGTTTTGTCTTTCAGACAGTGTGCATATTTTGGAACCACCCAAATACAAGAGCAAAAGGCAACCCCCCTCCTCAAATGAAAAACAATAGGAGATGCATATCAATAACATAAAGAAAAATTAATAATGTTTGAAACGGATGATGGATGTCACAGATGCCTGCTGCAGCCCTCATACAGGAAAAGGAGGGTGGGGATGTATTCCAAAGAAGAAAATGAACTGGGAAAGAATGAAAAAAATGTTGAACTAGAGTTTAGCCATTAAATTCATGTCTCTTGTGCAGGATGATGTTAATAATTGTGAATAATCGGTATCCAGCTAAGGTGGGCCTTTGCTCTTTTTGTTATCAGCAAAAGAACAATCTCCTCATTTTTCTCTCCTGGATGTATAATATTTCTCTGAAGAGTGAGATTCCTGTTTTTAGTATTTAGTTTTAGTATTAATTCAAGCTCTAATTCAAGCCTTTCATCCTAATGAAACAGAAATCCAAAGACATATTGATGCCTGATTGCAGTGACTAATAAGGCCTAAAATGCAGTTGTTTAAGACAATTGCTCAATTTTTTTTAAAAAAATGTGAACTACAATATGTAACAGCCTGCACTGTTCCTGAAGCATCTTAAACATCCCTTTCTCTTAGAAATCTCCAGAGTGCCAGGCTATACTAGTTATTACCAATTGAATTTTCAATAGCAAACTTACCAAGCCCTAACTTTGACAAATTTTATTTCACATTTGTCAAAGGAAATAAAGCTGACAGCATTACAGGGGCTGTGTACTAAAAGTAGTATCTCAATTCCAACAGTCTGTCCGACCTCTCTGTCCTTAGGGGACCATTAAATCTGGGCCCAATTCACAGCTTTGTTTGAACACAATATATTTTACTCCTTTTCTTTGCACCCCTGATATTTATTTCAGTGTTAAATCTCTTCTTCCCTTCATCTGTTACCTTGTTTTATTTCTGTTTTTGAGAACCTATATTTTTGCTAATAAATATTCACTACACCATTTCATCCTGTATTTAATATGCCCAATGCATGTTTGCCGTGCTAACTTCTCAACAGATTGAGTGGACATTCCAGTGTTGCAGTGCAGTCATAAAATTCAGGAACTTATAAAATCCTACCTTTCCTTTCCTACCATTAGTTTTGCCTCCCCCCCCCCTCTTTCTTTTTCCTTGCTACAGTATATTTTCCCCACTGGTTTCAGCAGCTCAAACAGAACCACAGCTCCTCCCTGTGGTCCTAAGAATGGATTACTTCACAGCCACACCAGAGAGTTTCCTCAAAAGAATGATCATAATCCTTGTCCGGTTTTGCTCAACAGCACTGCTGCTTGACCACGGCTGGTTCCTATGTTCCAGGCATGATTTTTATACGCCACAAAGACGTGGCTAAACGGGAAGCGAATCCATTTGGAGCAAAGCTTTGCCTTGTGCCAAGTGTTAGATACGGAACCATTGTTATATGTGCTGGATGTCTTGCGATTTTTGTCTCAGTAAGTCACATGAACCGAGCACGGAGTTCATTTGCTGATATATAGAGCTTGTCATTTTAACAGACTTACTGTTCATTTAAAGTAAATTAGAATTATAGTCCACTTCTCCAAAGGCTTAGCATATGACGGGACTGTGCAGTAACACTAAAACACATACTGTATTCATCTTTGATCTATTACATGTCGTCATCTAACAAAGGCTAGGGGAGTTCGAGATAAAATAGTCTGTGTTTGATCACAGGAAAACTTGCCCCCATTCTGGACTATGGATTATAACATTGATTTTTTTTTTTTTTTGCTTGCTCCTTATTTTTTTACAAAGGGACTTTTTCCACAACACCACATTCTTTTATTGAGATAATTACAATTACTTCAATGCTTGCTTCAGTATATTCTCTTCTTAAAAAAAAAAAAAGAAAAAAAAGAACCCCTGATTTTTATTTTTAAAATAAGCATTGCAAGTGATTTTTTTTTCCTGGCTGAGTTAACACAAAATAGTCAATGAAACAGACCAAAATGGAAGTAGCTGTTTATTTTCTTACCATCAGATGTCCTGACAGAATTTCTTCAGGAAGGTTATCACTCCTCATGTTGATGAGGAGAGGGAGAAAATGGTCTTACTCATACAGGTACAGAATTGTGTGAGAGTGTATCTGTGTGTATGAGTGTCTGTGGGTGAGTGTCTGTGTGTGTGGGAAAGAATGTGTTTTGCACATGTGCAGATGGATGCTAAATTCCAATACAAATACCAGTAGAAAATGCCAGTTAGTGTCTTAGATTTTATCACTGAAAGAAGATCCTGCCCATGATTCAAAGATATTCTTTTTCCCATTTAGTGAACACAGTATTTATTCACATTAATTTAGGAACTCTTCATATATATATATATATATATATATATATATATATATATATATATATATACATACATACATACATACATACATACATACATACATACTAAAGTGTTTCTCACTTTTCTGTAGGATTTGTCTCTATGATATTCATCCTTTCTAACACTCACCCAGCCATTTACATGCACACCGAGACACCCAAAATCTTTTTCTTCTCTACTATGGAACAATAGCCTTTGAATATGAAAACAAAATATTTCCTAAATTGCTTTTTAAATAAATAAATAAACTGAATGCAATATTTTTAAAAAAACAGATACTCTACCCTAAATATACATGAATATACATGAAAAGAAATAACAATCTTATTTAATCCAGACTTTTGTCTGCTCTTGATTCCTGTCAAACATATATGAAATACAAACTGGAATCTGCAGAATTGTTATACATTGCATAAACATTTAAATGGACATAACAATGAACACAGCTGACATGTGCAAATGCTGATATTTATGATCTGAATAACGAATCAAGAACGTGGTTTATTTATTTTTAACAACATAATGTATAATTTTATCCAGAAATGTTAGCAGCCCTAAATTCACTCAGCATATGTCTATAGAACATAAAATCTAAATAGTTTAATTATGCTTAAAGAATAAAATGTAATAAAGTTTGCAGAATAATAATTGTGTGTTCTTCCAGAATTGTTCTACAAGGTGATAATAATGGATGGAATTAATTAACCAGCAATGAATTTTCAAGCAGGACATTCATGTATGTTGTTTTAAATTCCTGTATTCCATATGCAATTGTGTAATTTTGCTTTATTATTTACTAACCGAATACATGTAAATAAGTTTTTACTCTTTAAAGATAAGAAGATGCAAATTAGCAAAAGGAAATTATGTTCAACTGGGTCCTGTGCAAATTTAACCTTGAGTACCACTAATTCTGTGTCACTCCTTGGTAGATGCTTAGATTTTTCAAATCTCTGGTTAGCAACTTAGCTTAAGACTAATGATTTGGTACCAAGCAAAATGCATTTGACCCAACTGTTATTAGGGAACTGCTCCTGAACCTTCATTGCTTTCATTACTAATTAATTCAGGCAGATATTTAACTTAATAAGGTAAGCAAACAAAAAACTTTATATGCTTTAAATTTTGTAGACTCTCTCCTAATTAGCTTTTTTTGTGTGCGCTCATTATCAAGATTAATTACTTATACAAGTGTCAGGCCTTACATTTAGAGTACTGCACTAGAAAAACACATGCACAATACACTGACCACAGCCAGTTCCTCTGTTCCAGACTTCATTTTGATATGCCACAAAGATGTGGCTAAACAAGAAGTAAATCAGAATTCTTGAGAGCTATTTTCCTCTTTGAGAAAATACAGAACAGAAAACGAAACCAAAAAAAAAAAAAATCCATTCCAGAAAAAAATGTAGGGAATATCCACACTTGAAATAGATTTGTTCTACTTTAAAAATTCTGATAACTACCAAGCCTGTTAGCATGATGAACATAATTTATAGATTTATAAATTTATAAACATAATTTATAGATTTATATCCACATTCTTTCAGATAATGAATAACTAAACATAGCCATTAAAAAATTCAAAATCCATTGCTGGATAACACTTTGTTAGGACCAACATTCTCTTGTGATATTTTGGCTGAATCTAATAAAATTATTAGTCAAGTAAGATTTTGAAACTTGTATACAGAATGCATTTTATACATAAAAATAAAGAGATGCTTATTTATTTGTCTCAGACACTTGAAGGAGGCAAAGTTCATTTAGAGTAGAAGCTAATTGCAGACCTCTCCTGTTTTATAAGAATCAGAAATGTTGCACTGCCTGGATATTTCTTAATGCAGAGGCTATTAAATGTTTGACAGTATTTCCTAAATTACTTGTTTTAAGCTAATGTAATAATTCCTACTACTATTAACAGACAAATTTGAAGGTAATCCTTTGATATATATATATATTAAAAACCTTGTTCATGCTTGTTTCCAAGATATCTACTATTAGGGACAAATTGTCCATAATGTGCTCAGTAATTTTTGATAGCATTGCCTTTAGGTATGCAATTCAGGGTTATACTAATTACATAGCATATATATGTTTGTTAAAACCAACCCAGATACATCATGATGATAATCTGTTTAGCAGCATCTGATCTTAAATTCCTGACTGTGTCCTGTGTTCACTCAAAATATTCTCTGAAGCTGTGGGTTTTATGAAACTTTGAAGACAGCAGTGTTCTAATTTTGAAACCTGTCTTATAATATCTATCATTTTTTTTCAAAGGTTTAGTGAGCCTTTCTTGATTTGACATACAAATGTTGAAGTTTGTCACTATCATATCTTTATATTTCCACTACATGAAAGTGCTGATTCAGTTTTTTTTTTCTGGTAAAATATATCCTTGAAGGCCAACTGGCTTTCAATGTGTGTCAAAATAATGTATGTCTTAATATTTGGTTTGACAAATAAAAAGTATATGTACTTTATATGAAGCCTTCTTGGGGTTTTTTTTGGGGGGGGGGAGAAATGGGTCACTATATACAATAATCATCTGATTTTAGTTTAAAGTTTATGTCAAATTTTATTTCATTTAGATATTCCTTATAAATCAGAAATAATGAGAACATTTAGAATACTAAATATGATATTTCAGATGAATGACTCGGATATATAATTGGTATACATCTTCCTGTGATAAAAGATCTATTTATAATGTTGGTTTGAAAATGGATTAGCCTTTTTAATAGTTTTAGAGGAGTGATTCTGTACAAGCCCTTTTGCTTTTAATTCTTTTCTTTCTTTAATGGGTGACTGGATAAATTCAGTGGTGGATTTTTTGCGACACTAAAGCAGCAGATAAGTCTATGATGCACTCTAGCTATGTGGTTTAAAAATCCCTTACCATATGTTTTCTCACTGGAATGCCTCATCTTGCAAAATTACAGGAACCGAAGCTTAAAAACACAATTAGGTAATTTTAAAATAAAGTATTAAAGAAATATCACATACTCCAAATTTGCCTGCTATTATTTTCCTCCCATCTTCTTATAGATTTTTCAGCTTCTTCTGTTGCTTTTGTTAGTTAAAGAACCAGCACTGTGTCTGATTGTTGTTGTAATCATGCTGCACATTTCTTTTTCTTTTTTTCTGATTAGGTTACATAGGCTGAGGTTAAATTATAAATGAAAGAATAGCTAGCAGAGTACTTGTCATAACAGTGCCTTTTATGTTGCTATAGAAAAATGGGAAAGGAAATGGATGCTTGAAAAAACACTAGGCAAGGATTACCTCCCCCCCCTTATTTTCCTCCTCTTTTTTGTGTGACATAGTATCTGCACAGAAAAGTAATGTCATTTGTTACAATGGCTTCTCCCAATAAGTTTTTCTGAAACTACATGGAATATCTGTCCAAAAATGGATGGCAAAAGAATATATAATATATAACCATAGGAATATCTACAAAACTTCATGATTTTCTGTCTAGGAAATGTATAAACTATTGTCTTTTTTCTCTGATTTCAAGTGCCATAAAAAACAAAGATAAAGAAAAAGCATATAGCATGTATTCTTTCAATAATTCTGTATCTACCTTCTAAATAATGGCTACATAGAAT